TGTAGCAGTGGAGAAATTAATGTGTATAAACACTCACCTGCACCACGACTGCTCTTTTACATGCTCTGAAATGTTTTTTGGGAAATAGCCATCCTCCTTTTTTTCTTTTTTTTTTTTTCTTTCTGAAGGGTGTTAATATGATTTAGTCCACCGGGGGAGGAACTGAGGTCTCCTGCCAACAGCCAGGTGAGGGAGCCATCTTGTAAGCAGCTCCTCTGGCTGAATGCGGCCCCAGGTGGCAGAGGACACCCTCACTGCAGCCTCAGTGGGAGACCCTGTGCCACCCAGCTACAATGACCTTGAACTCTTCAACTGTGAGATAATAAATATTTGTCGTTTGAAGCCACTGAAAAACTGAATAAAGTATATGTTAATCACTTTCACAAAATCCACTAAACTGCCAGCAAGAGCTACAAGAATGGTAGAATCAGCTCTGGCTGGTGTGGCTCAGTAGGTTAGGTACCAGCCTGGGAACCAAAAGGTTGCCCGTTGGATTCCCAGTCATGGCGCATGCCTGGATTTTGGTTGGGGGCCTCACATGTCAGTGTTTATCTTCCTCTCTTTCTCCCTCCCTTTCCCTCTCTAAAAAATAAATAAAATCTTAAAACAAACAAAAAAGAATGGTTAGAATCACTGGTGCTCTTTTTTTGCACTGGGGCTTGGGGCAGGGGAAGGAAACTATTAAAACAGCTTTATTCCACAGGTCTGACTGCTTTCTGGGACAGCGCAACACTAGGTTTAACCCGATTTAATGCAGTATTTGCAAGGAACTTCAGTAAATTAAAAAAAAAAAACGGCACAAGAGAAAAGCAAGTTAATTTTTAAAAGATTTTATTTATTTATCTTTAGAGGGGAAGGGAAGGAGAGAGGAAGAGAAATATCAATGTGTGGTTGCCTCTTGTGTGTCCCCTGCTGGGAACTGGCCTGCAACCCAGGCATGTGCCCTGACTGGGAATCGAATGGTGATCCTTTGGTTCTCAGGCCCGCGCTCATTCCACTGAGCTGCACCAGCCAGGGCGGAAAAGCAAGTTATTACTTGAGTGTGTGTTTTAAAATACTGGTCCTAAGTCTAAAATGCATTATTAACAAATACAGTATGCTACTATATGATTTTCAGAAATTGCCTTTTTGTGTCCCTGCCTTTGTACCTCAGTCCCTGGAGACATTTCTTCCCATTTAACCTTCATAATTCTCAATATTGCAAAAATTCAGGGCTGGAAGTTATTCACATTGTTCCCTTTTATTCAAATGTAAACTAGTAACTGAAAGATCATGATCCGTTATGGTCTATTTTCCTGCTTCCCAGAGATGAAACAATAAAAGCAGTGCTGGCTGTGCCGTTTCCAACAGATACAGAACTACAGATCACTCTTATTTTTAGGAGTTCCAGTGTGTTTGATAATTTTCTTATGGGGAAGAGGTGACATTCTCATTGCTGCTGTTTCACCCAGGCAATGGAGAAAGGCAGAATTGGAAGTGGTAGCCCAATGAATGGGAGTTTTAATTGCATACATGGTACGATTCCAGAGGCCATGAAGGCCACTTTTTAAAATTTATTAATTTTAGAGAGTAAGAGGTGAGAGAGAGAGAGAGATTTGTGTTTCACTTACTGATGCATTCATTGGTTGATTCTTTTTGTGCCCTGATCAGGGATTGAACAACAACCTTGGAGTGTCAAGATGACACTCTAACCAAGTGAGCTACCTGGCCCAAGCCAAGACTCTCTTATCCCTAAAAAGTACCACTGTTCTGTAATGTCTGAAAACTCGCTATCTTTCCAGTTACAGGCTCTCTCTGTTTATGCAGGACAACAAACCTGTGAGATGTAACGGTGATGTCAGTCAGTTACACCCATGAGAAGTGTGTTTTGGATTGCTGCAGCAGGTGTGGGCAGAGAACAGAAGGGTATTGGGTGCTGTGGGATGGAGTACGGAAGGAAGAAGCACAATGCTGTCAAAGGTGCCTCTGGACACCCAGCCTGTGTTTTAGTATTGCCAATAATTGGTGTGGAAAAAAAACAGCATCAGATTTACTAAGAAACTGATTTACAAATACTTTTTCCATAACTTTAAAAAATAATTTCAAGTTTCTAGAACAGTTATAATAGTACCCCAAACTCCTATATACTCTAATCTCAGTTGGTAAAAGACTCTACTTGTTCTATCATAGTTTCTCCTCAACTGGTTATTCATTATGCCTAGAGTTTGCTTAAGTTTGAGTTTCTATTATCACTTCCCTTTTGTCCAAAGAATTGCCTTTAGTATTTCCTGTACAGTAGATATGCTTCTGATAAAGCCTTTCAATGACCATTTATCCCAAAGTATTTTATTTACCTAAATATATTTGTGATAGCAACTTTAAATTTTTTGTCTATGAATTCAATATCTGGGTCATCTTGGGGTCAGTTTATATCAACTGTTCTTTCTCTTGACTATGGACCACATTGTCTGGCTTCTTCTCTTAACTTCGAATCATGTTACTGTCTTTCTCATTCCTGCAATTTTTTTATTTTATATTGGACACTGTGGATGGTATGGTGTAGAGATTCTAGATTCTTTCTCTGCCAAGCATTATTTTGGGCAGGACTCAAACTGTATCCCCTATGGTGGGCAGCAGCTGAAACTCTGCCTAGTCCTTTCAGCTTCTTAGCTATTTGTTTCCCGCCAGGCTCTGAAGAGTCTCTGTAGGTTCATAGTTCAGGGGTGAGCCAAGGACTTGTTTGAATTTATACACAGATTTTGGGGTTCTCCCTCCTGAGGCTCACTCCTGTGGGTTTCCTTCTCACTTTCCAGGGTCCCTGGAATCCCTGAGCTCCTTCTTCTTCTCAAACCAATTTCCCTATAGCTTTCTACCCGAGCTCTAGCTACTCTCACCTGGTAGACTTGGAAATAACTCCCAGACAGAGAACCACATAAACACAAATCTCTGCCAGTGCAGTCCCATCTTTCAAGGGTTAACCTTCTGGTTTGTCTGCTTGTGGTTACCGTCAAATAGTTGTTTTTTATGTTTTGTTCTGAACTCATAATAATTACCTGTTAGTCTGCTATTACCAGAAGCAGAACCTACAAATAGTTTTCAAAAACATAAAAATAAAACATGGCCCTGGCTGGTGTAGCTCAGTGGATTGAGTGTGGGCTATGAACCAAAGGGTCGCCAGTTCAATTCCCAGTCAGGGCACATGTCTGAGTTGCAGGCTAGGTCCCCAGTAGGGGGCGTGTGAGAGGCAACCACACATTGATGTTTCTCTCCCTCTCTTTCTCCTTCCCTTCTCCAATAAACAAACAAACAAATAAAATCTTTTAAAAACATGGGTTCTATAAATTATTACAATTAATTAATTCAACAAATACCAAGCATTTACTCTGGTCTAGTTACTATACTAATACTAGGTGAGAGAAAACATTTAGATATAAGATTTATATTAGATATAGCCAACTTGAATGGCTAGGTTTTTTTTTTAAGTAATTTTCTTTTTTAAAAAATTTTATTTATTTATCTTTAGAAGGGAAGGGAAGGGAAAGGAAGGGTAGGGAAGGAGAGAGGGAGAGAAATATCAATGTATGGTTGCCTCTCGTGTGTCCCCTGCTGGGAACTGGCCTGCAACTCAGGCATGTGCCCTGACTGGGAATCGAATGGTGATCCTTTGGTTCGCAGGCCCATGCTCAATCCACTGAGCTACACCAGCCAGGGCTGAATGGTCCTAGGTTTTTAAACTTCAAAATAATACATTCACTTGTCATAAATACTTTACATTTATGTAGTGCGTTTTAAAAAAATAAATCAGATTTGAGGCCAAAACCATTTGCAGTTAAATTTAACAATGCCAACACTTGGTAGCAGTGAAAAATCGCCAACTTTCTTCAGTCGTTTGAAAATATATTAACATAAAATCTCTGGGATAGTGCTACGCTTTCAAAAAGCTCTGGAACTAGTCAATGTCAAAAAGAAAAGAGGTCAACAACGCATTGCTCTTTCAGCATCAAATCTGGGGCTGAACTCCCCCCTACAGACTTGACGGTAAGTGGCCTCCACTTTGACTTAGCCCATCGTCCTACCTAGGATGTGGAATGTTACTAATCTACATCAACTTTAGTTTTTTACTATAGCTAGATAAAATAAAGTAGAAAATACCTTAGTATGGAATCCAATGCTACATGCCACTCATTTACTTTGGGGTGAGAGGTCAATGGTGGTAGAAAGTGAGAGGTTACTGCTGCTGAAAGTCCCCGTGTGCTACAGGGTAAACTTACTAGTTCACTGCCGTAGTTCTCCGCTTGGTCCCCATCCTTACTCTTAAATCCGCACTTAAGACCTGTCTGGCCCATAGACTTATAGGAGACTGAAGGGCAACAACAAGGTAGGTGGGAGGTTTTCTTTCTTTAGAGTTTTGTGCAGGTTTGGCCCTGACTTTATCAGGGAGTCAAGTGGGAAACATTAAGACGGAGCCCCAGCCTCTATTCTCACTATTTTGCATACAGGTTAGAGGTAGGCAAGTAAGTACCCTTATTTCCATTTAGTTTTCCAGCACCTATCCCCATTTGAATTCTGTTATTAGAATTGAAGTCCACAGGCCATTCATGCATATATATTTCATAACTATTTGTTGAATGAATTAGTTGGTTCCATTCTCTTTAATTATATTTTCTAAGATATATTTGGTTTTATGATCTGAAATCACTTTCATTATCACTATTTTATGTTGCTTCTACTCAATACTAAAGATACTTCTGACCTGACACCGATGTTACCATAACCTCTACATTTCATCTTCCGATGAATCATATAAATAACCCTACCTGAAGCAGTGTGAGGTCAATAGCAAACATCTGTGTCCTTCAGCCGCCAACCCCTTCCCTGAGTGCAGCTGGCTGGCATCAGCTAAACATCAACTATTTCACATGCTCAAGCTGTGCACCCATAGAGGCTGACTGGTGCTTACTGCTGAATACCTTGTGCATTAACAACAAAAAAAGAAGAAATGAGGAAAAGGAGAACACCAGTGTTATTTACCAGTTTATTAGTCATTCCATTTTTCTTCCAAAGAAAATAGTTCCACTGAATCCTTGGTTGACTGCGGGGCGGGGGTGGTGGCTAGGCAGGAGTTTCAGCTGCTGTTGCTTTGAAGTGTGGCTGCAGGCTCCTGTGCCTTTCCCAGCTCAGCTGGTGAAGCGGAGAAGAAACTTCAAAGGCCGACTTGCTGTTGTTCCTGCCAGTGGGGGTGAGTGATTCCCACCAGTTAGCTTTAGAGAAAAAACGAGGAATTCATCCTCTCTCACTTGCCAGGGTTTGACATTCACCAAACCACCTACCAGTTTTTAGTTATGCCTGTCACTACCTAGTAGACGCAGATGAAAACCAACACAGTCAACTCCATTGTGATTTATAGTTACTCATGTACGCTGTCTTCACAAATCATCTGAGGTGGCCAGGTTTGTAACTTTTCCATATTGTGCCGCATGTTGGTGACAGCGAGTAAACGGCTCCTGCTAGGTTACACTCCCTCCCCATGGAAACATGCTGTGTGTCTCCTCGAGCAAAGCCAAGTTTAAGATTGTCTCCTTGCTGCTCTGCTATCACATCTATAATTTTAACTGTTTACAGTCCTTTTAATTACACAGTTTTCCATCTATGTATAGGCAGTGCATTCATTCATGAGTTAAGAAAGAATCAGTCCATTTGGTCAACAATTCACCTTGCCCAATATATACATTTTTGTATGCTTTATAATTAAATTTTAAAAGAAACCAACAATTCCCCTGACTGATTTTATCTGGTCTAAACCTTTTAATTTAAAATTTATATAACTTCACTTTATAAGGAGAAAAGAAAATAAAGCTAAAATATTAATTCTTAGAATTAAGAATACCTTTTATTCCCTGGCTGGGTGGCTCAGTTGGTTGGGGCATTGCCCCATGCACCAAAAGGTTGCACGTTCGATCCCTGGTCAGGGCACTTGACTAGGTTTCGGGGGGTATGTACAGGACACAACCAATCAATGTTTCTCTCTCACATTGGTGTTTTCTCTCTCTCTCTCTCAAAAATCAATAATCATATCCTCGGGAGAGGATAAAAAATTACCTATGACTCAAAAACTCTAATTCTTGGCCAGTTACATGGACAGTTAAACTTCTCTGCCACTATCTCCAACCAGCTGTAATTTAAATAAATATGAACAATTAGGTAAAACATTTTAGTGTACAGTACAAAATGGTACAAGGTATAAGGGTCTTCAGGGAAGATTATTATGCTAAAAAAATATGGAAGAAACCAGATAGTTACAGTAAACATCGATAGTCACATGACCTAAAAGCAAGTCGCTAACAGCAATACAGCACCGTCTGTTGACTTGGCAACATGGCCCCAGTGTGGCCTAAAGGAGACTCTTATGGTGGAAAATGAAACTGCAGAATTAAAGAAAAAAGCAAGCAAACACCTAGGAACACAATCAAGGGGGCAAAAATTCCAGAAAGCTTCCATAATTATCAGCTGGGTATGCTTCACGTTACACAAAAGGCAGTCAGTCTACCATGCTAAGTTCTGAATAAGCAAATAGCTAACTCAAGTACACAGGGGTACGACAGCAATGAGAACACAAATCAGTCAGTTACCCATATCACGTTTATCACAGAATACAATCAGAGGAAATGATACCAATGACTGGACTTTCATTTTTTTCATTTTGCAAAAACGTTCAACTCAAAGTAGCATGAACTTCAGATTCTCACTTCCAAAGATGGGTTTTCATTCCTGCCTGTGTCCTGAAGAAACTGGACCAGAAGTCTTTAAATCACCATCTCTAGTTACACTTTATCCTCCTGTTTTCAGGCTTTTTGAACCATTTTTTATTTCTGTAACAAATGAGTCAGAGATGAAATTTTAAAAAGGAAAACAAAAGAGACCACAAAAATTGGAGAGAAGTCACAAGTAAAATGGTTTTATGGAGAAAGAATATTTTTTAAAGATGTGTGTGGTTCGGTAGAATTAGGAGTGTGCGACCACTCTGCTGCTGAACAATCACTCGCGTTGCTCATTTTCTGAGGATTCACTCCAGGGAGAGCTGCACGCTGTCCGCCTGGTTCTGTGGCTGCTGAGAGTCATACTTCCTCGCTGTTCAAAATGAAACAAGTAAAAACACAAGAAAAAAAGGTAAAAATAGCAAAATAATTACTAGCTAACATCATTAAATCACAGTCAAGTCATGCATCTCAGGAAAGAATTAGCTTAGAATTAGACAGCGGTCCCCAGTAAAGATTTCTCCTCTCCACTTTGTGATCCTCCAGTTTCTCAACACTGCTGATATCCATTTTTATGTTATTGTTGTTACTGTTTGTGTGTCAGGGTTACTCAGAGCTTTAAAATATAGAATAAGAAATAAAATACAGGATAAAGATTAAGCTATTAAAATTAAATGAATTTTATAATTTCCTTCTTTCTCTGCCCCCTATTTCCATCTTAAGCTAAATACTAATGCTTTTGTTCACATCATAAGGAATTTGACTATATTTAAACGTATAAACCTAAGAGACCTATTATGGAACTTTGTAATATAAACTAGAAGAAAAAACAAATATGTAATTCTGTGTTCTCTTTGTACTTCTGAGAAATAGTTGAAAAATGGTCTTAACCTAAAACCAAAGGAAGTACAGGGCTAAAATCTTTATGAACGCCATTCACTGCTTAGCTTTAAAACCCAGTCTGTTCATTGTTCCTAGCCAAGAAAGATGCTATTTGTTTACATTCCCGGGAGATGTGTATGAATTCAGATTTTTGTGGCCTTAAGCTTACACAACTTTGGGAGTCCTCTTTAAGAAAAATAATTTTGTTTCTTATTTTCTGTTGCCCAGCAGACTTTGTTGGGACTAGGCTGGCACAAACACTGTGAATGAGCCAACGTGAAGGGGTCCAGTAAATGTACAGATTGACACATACACGCTGTTTATAAAAATGATGGCTTCCCAAGAGGCCCACACCCTAATCCCCATGATCTGTGAATGTTACCTTGCAGAGCAAAGAGGACTTTGAGGATGTGATTAAGGTAAATTCCTTGAGAGGGAGAGATTACCCTGGATTATCTCGGCCCCACCTAATAACATGGGCCCTTCAACTCAGAGACCCTTTCCTGCTGAGTTCAGACAGGAGGAAGATACAAAAATGGAAAAATCATTAGAAAGATGTGACGCTGTTGGCTCTGAAGATGGAGGATCGGGGCCCACAAAACAAGAAATGTGGGTTCTCTAGTAGCTGGAAATGGCAAAGCAACATATTCTCTTCTAGGGCAGAAGGACAAATCTACACAGGCAGGTGTGGCTCAGGGGGTTGAGCACCAGCCTGTGAACCAAAAGGTAGCTGGTTCAATTCCCTGTCAGGACACATGCCTGGGTGTCCCTGTCCAGGACCCCAGTAGGGGGCGTGAGAGAGGCAACCAAGGGATGTTTCTCTTCCACATCTATGTTTCTCTCCCTCTCTTTCTTCCTCTCTCTAAAAAATAAATAAAATATTAAAAAGAAAAATCTGCTAACACATAGATTTTATCCCAGTGAGACTGTTGTAGGATTCTTAACCTACAAAAAAGATAATACATTTGTGTTGTGTTAAGCCACTGAATTTGTGATAATTTGTTACAGCAGCAATGAAAAACTGATACGACTTACAAAGACAGGAATTCTGATAAATTTTATTCCATTCCCATCAGAGAAGAAAAAACTGTGCATTGGGTTTATAATTAATTGTATATATTATACTATCGGTAATATAGTAACCCCAAGTAGCATAAACAAATAGTGTCTCTTCCTTGGCTAGGCTTATTTTACTTCATTGTAAGAATAATTATGAAGCATAATGTCTTTAAGGTTCATCCCTATTGTAGCACATGTAAGAATTTTCTTCTCCTTAAAGGATAATATTCTACTGTATTCATGTACCATGTTTTGTATATTCATCTATCCATCAAAGACACTTGGACAATTTCTACTTTGGCTGCTATGAATAATGCTGCTATGTTAATTTGACTTCTTAGCTTGGATGGGTAACCCATGCACATGGTACAAAGGGCAGAAGGAACAAGAGAAAAACAATGGAAGTGTGTCTTTCAGTCGGTCTCACAGCTACCTATCCAGTTGCTTTCCCTAAAGGAAATGCTGTTTATCAGTTTTTAGGATAAAATGTATGCTAAAGAATGTGTTAGAGGTTTTACTTGTTGGCTTTTATTTTCCATAAACTAAAAGACACATTTTTCATTTTTGTGAATAATCTTACTGATTTGGATATATTATGTTGGCTATCTCCATGTGATATAATGTTGACTGTCCTCAGTTAACGTCTTCATTTGATTGCTATCAACTTCAACTGGTCTACCTGACTGTGGAGCATCCTCCAGTGAGGAACCTCATAAACGACTTTTGACACATTTGATCAGTCACAACACCTCCACACATTGCACAAATTTTTTTTTTGCATTTTAGTTACATTTTTACCTTTCTTGAAATAATAAAGCAAATATGCCAAAAATGTTCTTTGCTTCCTTCCATGTTCAATATTAAATTTGCTACACAAAAATTCACCAACTTTGATAAGCTTTTTTAAAAAAGATGCACACTGACATGACAGCTGTCACAATACAATGTAACAAAATTGTTTCAAATGAACTGTTACTAGACTCATCTTATGGAATAAACCAAAAGAACTTTTTGGCCAACCCACTATTTTTTTCCTACTTTTTACCTAAAATTTCATTCCTTGCTTCTCTCTATGCACATACATACACACACATTTAAGGTTTTTTAAATATATTTTATTGATTATGCTATTACAGTTGTCCCATTCCCCCCATTTATTCCCCTTTGCCCTGCACACCCCCTCCCACCCACATTCTTCCCCTTTAGTTCATGTCCATGGGTCATACATGTAAGTTCTTTGGCTTCTACATTTCCTGTACTATTCTTAACCTCCACCTGTCTATTTTCCACCTACCATTTATGCTACTTATTCTCTGTACCTTTTCCTCCTCCCTACTCCTCCCACTCCCCTGCTATAACCCTCCATGTGATCTCCATTTCTGTGATTGTTTCTGTTTTAGTTGTTTGCTTAATTTTTGTTTTTGCCTTTTTTTAGGTTTAGTTGTTAGTAACTGTGAGTTTGTTGTCATTTTACTGTTCATATTTTTTATCTTCTTTTTCTTAGATAAGTCCCTTTGACATATATAATAAGGGCTTGGTGATGATGAACTCCTTTAACTTGACCTTATGTGGGAAACACTTTATCTGCCCTTCTATTCTAAATCATAGCTTTGCTGGATAGAGTAATCTTGGATGTAGGTCCTTGTCTTTCATGACTTTGAATACTTTCCAGCCCCTTCTTGCCTGCAAAGTTTCTTTTGAGAAATCAGCTGATAGTCTTATGGGAACTCCTTTGTAGGTGATTCTCTGCTTTTCTCTTGCTGCTTTTAAGAGTCTCTCCTTATCTTTAATCTTGGATAATGTAATTATGATGTGCCTTGGTGTGTTCCTCCTTGGATCTAACTTCTTTGGGACTCTGTGAGTTTCCTGGACTTCCTGGAAGTCTATTTCCTTAGCCGGATTGGGAAATTCTGCTTCATTATATTTTCAAATAGGTTTTCAATTTCTTGCTCTTCCTCTTCGCCTTCTGGCACCCCTATGATTCAGATGTTGGAAGATTTAAAGTTGTCCAAGAGGTTCTTAAGCCTCTCCTCATTTTTTTGAATTCTTGTTTCTTCATCCTGTTCTGGCTGAATTCTTTCTTCCTTCTGCTCCAAATGGTTGATTTGAGTCCCAGTTTCCTTCTCATCACTGTTGGTTTCCTGTACATTTTTCTTTATTTCACTAAGCATAGCCTTCATTTTTTCATCTAATTTGCGACCATATTCAACCAATTCTGTGAGCATCCTAATTACCAGTGTTTTGAACTGTGCTTCTGATAGGCTGGCTATCTCTTTGCCGCTTAGTTGTACTTTTTCTGGAGATTTGATGTGTTTTTTCATTCGGGCAGTTTTTTGTTTTTGTTTTTGTCTCAGCATGCCTGTTATGTAGTAAGGTGCGGAGCCCTAGGTGTTCACCAGGGCTGGGTAACCCACATTGCTGTGTTGTGACACTGTATGTTAGGGAGGGGTGGACAGGGAACAGTGTGGCTTGCTCCATTCTCTGCCGGTTTTCAGTGACTTTCCCCACTATCCATAATCAAATTGGGCCCTTCTGGTGCTGATTCCCGCATGGGTGGGTTTGTATAGGTTCTAGGACCCTGTGGGTCTCTCCGACAAACTCTCCAGTGAGGCTGGGAGTTTCTCCTGCTGCTGCCTCAACCCCCACAGGTGTTTCCAACCAGAGGTTTGAGGCTTTATTTACTCGCACTGGGGCCCTGAGTTGCGAGGTCTGTCTCTCTCCCCAGTTGTTCCTCCTGGTTTATCTGCACACAAATATGGGACCACCCAGTCCACAATCTGCCGTCTTGCCGGGTCTGCCAGCCACCACCCTGCCTGCCCTAGTCCTCCAGCCACTGCCGTGCCGTGAGTCCTCTCCGTCTCTCCTACCGGTCTGGATGAATGTGTCTTCTTTAACTCCTTGGTTGTTGGACTTCCATACAGTTTGATTTTCTGTCAGTTCTGGTTTTTTGTTTTTAAATTTGTTGTTCTTTTGGTTGTGCAAGGAGGCACAGAGTGTCTATGTACGCCTCCATCTTGGCTGGAAGTCTCCACACATTTAAGTTTTTACTGTGGACATATTTCTCTTTAAAAAATGTCCAGTCTTTTTTCTTTAAATCCCACACTACCCCTATCCAGGTAATAATTTTAATAATCTGATGAATACCTTTTCGAACCTTCCTCCTTGCTTGCATAATTATACAGAACATTTATTATATTATACATAGACAATACAAGGGATGTTTTGGTCTTTTGATTTTAAAAGAGTGGCATTATAGTACATATACTATTATACTTTGCTTTTCTCAGCTTAATTGTACACCACAGAAACAACATCCTAACTTTTTTTGAAATGGTTGCATAAATGGCTGTGGCTTACAATTCATTCTGACACCATGCATTTTAAACTTTGTTTCTCCTCCAGTAGCTACAGACTGAGCATGTTCAGTGCCACAGAGCACATTACTGGTGGGAGATGGCCTCTGGCCTTGTGCATGCATACTGATGTCACGTGCCATTGCCTGAAAGCCATTCCTACACCACTCTGGCTCGAAGTAATTTAATTATAGCAGAAGGGACTGCAAACTCCATAAATACAAACCTTAAGCCCCAACTAAAAGGAGTTCCAACTCAACTTTCTCTTAGATCCCCAAAATGCTCCCGGCCACGTCAATGCCATTCCACACCAGGGGAAGCACAAAGGAGGGAAAAATTAGAGTAGGAAGAGATAGCAATCTGAACCAATTGTTAAATAGCGAATTTTGCAAAATTTACAAAAGTACAAACACATGCACCCGTTACTGGGATTCTTCTCAGGGTTTTGGAAGGGGCCGGTCACATCCAGTGTCCTGAAGCACTAACTTCACGCAAATCTGCCTTAGAAGATACTGTGTTGCGCATCTGAAAAAGGCACTCATTTTTCATTATCAACTATTTCTGAAAACCTTTTGCTAACTGGATTCAATTCCAAAAAATCTATTTTAAACATGTTTAGGTATAGAGGTAAGCACACAATATACTTACAAATGGAATACATTTCCAGTTGCTGTCTTAAACGAATTTTGCTTATGGTGTCATAAAACTTGGGCTCTGATAAAGTTTCTGCTGTAGGTGGCACACTGAATATCCTCATAATTTTTCTTTTATTCCTAAAACACAAAACCAATGCAGAAGAGAGATTTGTATTAACATCTATAGGAGTATACCATCCTCATGATTGTTACAGTCAGAAACTACATTTAAGGATTTAAATGGCAAGGAATCTATGTTTTATTTTGTCTCTGTGGATGTTTCCTCGGCTTGAGTATTCTTTCTTTCACTAACAAGTATGAAGCTGTACATGTACAGCCACCGGGCTGTAAGTAAGAAAAGAAAGGAGCTGAACACACCCACTTCCTACAACAGCTATGCACCTCCACGGTGTCTCCACTCCCTGCCCCTGAAAAAGCCAAATATTGTAGGGAAAAATGCATACAAAAGAAACCATCTGATTCCCCCCCCCCCCCCGCATGTCCTCCAAATAAAGCTAACTTTCTGGGTTTGACTATACACACAATGTGAGCAGACCTTAATTGTGGAAAATACTGAACAAGCATATTTCTTAAATATAACAGCATGGGCCTTAGTGGAGCCATCTACTTAGAATGGACACCAGTGTGCCCTTGCTTTTAAAACAGCGGGGTGGGGAGGAGACAGCAGCTATGGTTAGAGGAAAGCTGTTTCCTGCAGGTGGGCCAGTGCTGCTCTGTGGAGCCTTCTCTCGCCCGCCCCCTAGAGCACAGGTGGCCGACGGGCTGGCTGCCCCAGGGGCTCAGGCGGCCAGGAAAGGTGAGCCTGTGTGTCCGAGAGCAAGGATAGGCTCTGAACTGTTCCCCAAACCAAACGTCAATAATTTTTGGATTACTAATTATTTTGAACTGATAACTTTCTGACTTTGGTAGAGGACACCATGAAGCATGTGGCTATAAGCAGAAGCAATTCAGTTCAACTAATACTGCTTCCTCTCTTCAAAGCACCTCCCTCTTTTTTTTTCTTTAACTGTTGAAAGGAAAGGAGCCAGACAGAGAGAGAGAGAGAGAAATTAGACAAGAACAGTTAAGTTATGCTATAGCACCCAGAATTAAAGTAGAAAATATTTATTGAGAATTTACACTATGTGGCACACCAGGGACACAAAGGTTAAAGGTCCCTGTTCTTAAGGGACTCAAGTTTTTGTGGAAATGCACAGACAAATAATCAGATGATACCAATATTGTTCAAGAAGTGTTTTAATACCGTCTTGCAGAAGAAACAGAAGGGAAAGCTTAAAATGTACAAAAAGAATTGCTGAACACATAGGAGTTACTGTTTCTGTATTTCCCGGACGGGGCCCCCCAAAATGTGCTCCTCCAAGGGTGACAGTGAACACGGCTGGAAGATACAAATGAGCTGGATGAGAAATGATGGAATGGGAGTCTAGTGCAGCCGGTCCAGGCGCCAGGGGCTGCACTTAAATCTCCACCTCTTAAAGCAACATTGTTCCAAGCCAACCCTCAGCGTTAGAGCCCAAGAGCCTGAGTAGTGAGTGCTTTCACAGTACAGAACAAAAATGCCGACGACATTATTTTTGAGCATTGAATTCAGATAAAACAAACAAATGAACCATCCTGCCAGGCCTTTAAATTCTCAATTCCTTATCTCCCCTGAGGTCCTCAGAGATTTACCTCTTGGCGTACATGAAGAGACCAAAGCTCACTAGGATCACTACCAAGTAAACATTGGTGGCTTCGTTCCAGGCCTCATGAACGCTGTAATCGATAGAGCCATCATCACCCATCACTCCGTCATCCCCAGGCATGTGGCTGTAAGAGAGAAGAAAGAACAGGGTTTCTGTTGGTGAGCGATGGTGTGAGTGGAGAAGGGCTGGCAAACAGGCGGCCTACTGGCCAACCCCAGCCAGCCACCTGCTGCCGAATGGCCCAGGAGCCAAGAATGGTTTTACATTTCCAAATAGGTACGTTTTAAATGGTTATAATTACCTACACAATATCCTAGATTGTTGCCTCACAGCTCTCAAAGCCTTAAATATTTACAATCTGGTCCTTTAAGAAAAATTGGCTAACCCCTGGCCTAGATAACTAAGGAATGGAATATTTTTCCTTATTTTCAACTTTGAAACATTATAGCTTCTACATAAAGGTTAAAACTTGGGATTTATTAGTCATATTAATAAAGGGGTACAGACCGAAATGTCACTGCAGAGTTTCCAAACAGTAACTATCACGTGGATGAAAGCGATCGAATACTTTGAAACACAGACCCAAACCATTGGCTGGGATACTCAGAGAGGTGCTGCACTTGTGACAGCAGCCTAGGAAAGGTGTGACCTCCATGACAAGGCTCTTCCACGTGCCTTCTGACGCAACCGGAAATGTTGGAAGCTTCATCTAGTTTTGGCTTGCGGCCACATGTGGTTGAAAGAAGCTATGGGATAAAAAGTTACTTTTTGCTATTGACACAGCTGTTACTTCTATTCAAGGAAACACATTCTTTGGACATTCCCACAGAAAATCAGAGCGGTAACAGCAACTGTATTAATTAGCAAGAAAAGAGTAATGGTTTCTTATTTGTGTTTGGGAAGGAAATTGAATCTTTCCCTTAAGAGAAAGTTCTTCCTTTGTTTAGACATAAAATGTAAGTAAGTCTAAGTAAAATGACCTAACACGTGAAAGAAATCCAGAAGTGTTAAAAGGAGAACAAATGATAGGTGATAACTGTATTGTAGTTTTAAAGGATAAAACAGCGATTTTCTAATATCAAGAAAAAGAGTATCTAAAATGTTCAAGAAATTGTTCTGCATTTTTTCCTAGATATTCTATAACAACGAAGGCATCGCAGACCATTCACCCACTAAAATACCTTGTAATCTATCCTGTAAGCCTGCAAAATATTCTTTAATGTGGATTTGGCTCAGTAGGTTAGTCAGAGGATTAAGGGCAGAGCCTGTTTTCTTTCTCGCAGTGTGCCTCCGAGTAAAACAGGTGACCTTTCCCCAGAGGTCTGCCCCTATGCCAGGTGGCATATTTGCCCCTTGCTAACATCTGAAGTCTTCGTCAGACATTTGGGGGCATAATGTACTTGTTTACGATAAAGTGAGTATCATGAATGGCCATTTAACTTAAACTATCAACATCAAGGGCAAGTTTAATTTCTCTAAAGCATCTATTGGTGTCTGATGAATATAAAATGTCTTGTAAAAATCAGCCAGGGAATAATAAAAACAGAACTTACTTTTAACTTACTATATATAGTAGTTTATAGATATAAAGTCCAAATTCCTATATATGAAAGTCTGGCTGTGAATTTTCTTTTTTTTTTAACAGAGTGAGAGACACGGGGGGGGGGGGGGGGGGTTGGCATAGTCAGTTTCAATTCACATTCCTTAAAACTAAGCTCCAGAGTTTCTCTGAATATAACATCATCATTGATAGTAAATGATCAATCTACTTTAGAGATGGAACTTCTGGAAGACCAGAGACTAAAAATTATGGTTTACGGAATATAGAATTTTGTTGGTGCCAAACTGTAAAATAACAATGACTGTGTTTGTCAAAAATAAGTGACTTTAGATATCTAATGTGAGATATGCTGAAGGCCTGGAACAATTATACATCAAGGGTGTAGGTTTCAGGATTGAGAGTTATTAACGAACCAGGGAAGAAACAGGAAATATATAGTAATGGCCACTAGCACGCATCAGACAAATGATGACATTGTTTCCTACCTGTTTTCTAATGCCTGACTGGATCTGAGCCAGGTTAATTACTGGCTTCGATTTTTCACAAAATTCTGTTCATGTGCCACTCAGTGACAGGTGTATTTCTAAAGAGCTTATAAAAACGCTAGTCTTTGAGTTATAGAGGGCATATATAGTAGTTATAGAGGCTTTCGAATTACTGCTGAACCAGATGGTAAAATTTTAACATGGATTATATAACATATATTAGACAACATGATTGGTATGCAATGACACCACTGTTCCACAGTTCCAGGGAACTGCACTGGGGCTATTTTTAGTAGTGTCATTGTGAAAGAGCTGCACTGAGGGCAGACCTTTCCTGTCCAGTCCTCCATGATGACCAATGGCATGACTCTGTAAGATTGCCGGGAATCAAGAATGGTTTTGCCCCAAGTCACAGTACAGACCCATAGCTCACATGTGGCCTGAACTATGACCATCGCCTCCCAGCATGCCCCAGTCTAATCAAGCGCACCCACGCACCTGCTGAGCGGTCACTGCATATCACCGCAGCCACCTTCTTCATTCAAAAGCAAAATGCCCAAAGGGTGTTACGCTGGCTCATTCCTGGCGAGTTAATGTTTCAGCAAGATCACATGTGCTGGGATCATGATTCATCGATTCCTCAAGTTCGTCATTTGAGAAAACTAAACTTTGTTTCACATATTTTTCCTATACGGTAACGTTTGAATGATTTCAGTAGGGAGATGCTAGGATCAGCTGAATAAAGTCCTAGGGAAACATTTGTATCCAGAGATAAAGTTGCTGAAATATGACCACTCGGGTTCGGTTTTAGTTTGATAAACTTTTAGATTGAAAATTAGTTTCCTTATTTTGTGTTCCTGGTACCATGTCTAGGTGGGTTCTAAGAGTATCACTTGTCATCAGGTCTTGAATATTATCATTTTTGTCTCTCACTACTTTTATTTTGATACAAATTCAGGTTAGAATGACGTAGAGTTCCAAGAGTTCCTTATGACACAATCCACTGCATAAATGTGATTTTCTCTCTCTCAGTCTCTGAAACACTGAAGGTTTGGGTTTCTGACGCAGAAGGTTACAAGCTAATAGGCCTTCAGGAGGAAGAAACCGAGAGGCCAGCAATTAACATTTGAGGGTTCACGTGCTGGACAGTCCATATATTCCTTTAAACTTCACAACCACCCTTCTGGGAAGCACTCCATTGTACAGAAGCAACTGGGGTGGTGGTGGTTACAATAATACGACTTGCCCAGTCATACAATCTAGGGAGTGGAGGGCTACGGTTGTCACTTGCATCTGACTCCCAAACCTTAACACTTCCAGCCCTGACCCCCATCTTGTGAGACCTGCTCCTCCCGCAAAAACAAATCCGGTAGAGCAGGTACAAAGTATAATCCTTTCTCAGGAAGTGGCCACAGGCAGGAGCCTACAAGAGCTGCCAGATCTTTCGCGTTTCCGCCGCCCGCGGGCTGCATGTGATTCAACGTTTAAATACTCCTGCTAAACCCTAACCAACGGGGGCCAACGCGCCAGCCCTGCATTTGCGTTGCAGATGAGGCTACTTCAACTGCCCCGTCTGCGCTTGGTGGAACTCCGAGCCTCACTATTTCCAAAGACCCCAGAGGTTCCAAGCAAAGGCGAAGCAGGTAGAAGGAGCCTCCAAGCCCACGAATGGGGGCGTGGGGCGTGGGGTGGGCAGCGACCTCCACGACCCTCCCTCTCCGCTCCCTCCCCACCGAGTCAGGGGCGGGGCAGCGCGTGGGCGGAGGGCGGGGCCGATGACGCGAGATCAGAGCCCGGGAGGCGCGAGGACGCGGGGCCACTCACACTGCTCGCTCCGGAGGCGGCGGGCGACCAGGCTGCTCCTTTCGGGGCCCTTCCCCCCGGAGTTGGGCCCGGACTCGCGGGAACCGGTTACCGCACGGACCCGGACGACCTCTGCCTTCGTCATTTCCTGCCGGCCCGTCGGTTTCCGGATAAAACAAGGAATCAGGTCTTTCCTTCCCCGCCCCCCTCGGCCCCCCTTTCAATTTTGAACGGGAGAGACGCAGCGACGGCCCGGTGCCGCCCCCGCGCGTGAGTGGAGCCGGGCTCCCTTCCCCTCCCCCGCGGCGCGTCACCGCCGGCCCCGCCCCCGGCCCCGCCGACCCCCGCCAGGACCGCGCGCGCTGCCCTCCACTAGTGTCCGGCCGCTGGACCGTCGCCCCCCGCGGGAGGGCGGTCGGTCCGCGGGGTCCCGCTGGGGCTTCTAGTGGCGGTGGGTCTCGCCGCCCGGCCCGGGAGTGCACGTGGAGCTAGTCCAGCCGCGGTGCGCTGAAACCGGGCTGGAAGTAGCGGGACAGGTCCCGGTGCCTCTTCCCGCCGTTTCGTCCTGCAGATGTGCCCTGGGCAGGATTCTAGGCGTGGGAGGGGGAATGTGCATTGTCCTGCAAATCGAGATTTACTTTTTTCGTAATGAGGGGTAGGGTCAGTTTTCGAGTTTGCCTTTATATTTATTTAAGAAAGCCTATGCTCTCCAAACCGCCTTCATTTTCCCTGTGATAATAAACAGTGCGTGGCTGAGACTGTTGAAGTGCTTTAAAAAAACTGGATGCTGTAATATTGAAAGTTTAAATGACTTGAGTATTAAAAAAAATTTATGTGGGGACGTGAAAATGTCATGTTTTCTAGCATGAGACAGGTGATGAATTTATGTAGGATTCCAGTGTTAGTATTGAAGTTGCAGATTGCAGTGGTTGGTGCAGCCTTGCAAGTAAGTGGCCATTTGTCCACGTGCTTGAGGTCTTAGCTGTTCCTTTTGAGCTAGTTCTCTAGGATCAGCTGACTGCTAATTATAATTCGTGCTGGACCGTGTAGAGATTTTATTCTTAATTGATAAGCAGAGATAGGAGCTAATATTTAACACTACCTGTTAGGAAGTTTTCTCTGCTTCTCTGTGGATCATTTTGTTACGATTAAACTGATGAAGTGCATTAGCTGGTACACTAACATACTGGCTTTACTTATATAGTATTAATGCATGTTAGCTTGTATGTATTATATACATAATTATATATTATTTTGCAACCATTCATTGTGACTATAAAGTTGGAAAATTATAAAAGTAACAGTGGGCAATGTTGACTACTGATTGTTCACCAGGCATGTGCCAAATGGTCTACATGCTTTATCATATTTAATCTTTCAGGATAACTTTTTGCATAATAGGTTGCTCAAAAATATTTGAGTACATGAGTTTGATTTGAATGTGTCAAAGTGTGGAATATGTACATTGATTACTGCTCTGTTTCTGCTTTTGTAAATTAAGGGTGTTGGCAATATATAATGACTTAAAGAGTAAATTAATGTGTTTTTCAAACTGGAAGATGGCTTTAAAATTGCATAGAACTGCAGTTAGTCCTTTTATATGAGTATTCGGTAGTTTCCAGATTCCCATTATATATCATTGTCACCCAGTGAACAGGTGATGCTTGGACATTGGAAAAAGGTAAATGTTGGGAAAACCTTAATGGCCCCTTCTGAAAGGCTTCGCTCCATATCCAGTTTGTAAGTGACATTCCTAATTAAGGGTTAACAAATGACAACGAAACAGGAAGAGTAATTCTCCCATACTAAATCAAGGAAATAAAAAACAATGGGCTGGTTATTACTTTGTTGATTAAGTCTGACATTCATGGCTATGAGTATTAAGAATGTTATCTACATGCAGGGGTCTACTTAATATTTCAGTTCACCTGTAAATATCTTAAACATATTCAGTGTCAAGTCTAGTACTTTGTGCATTGAGAAGTTAAGTTTTTGGTTGGATTTAATTAAGCAGTTTTGACTTCCTTAAGCAAGAAGTTTATTTTGACTGTGTTTCTACAGATATAATTTAATGATTTATATAGGCAAAACAGTGATGAGAATGATGGTGGTGGGATCCAACAGTTTGCTTCTCGCGAGAGTAGTAGTAGTTTAAAGAATGAGGGAATTACTTGAAAATGTGTCTTATTTGTGACTAGAGCCTATTTGACTTTACCTTGTGATTCTAGTGGTCCATCATTGGCATTGGTGAGGAAAAAAATTGAGAGTGCTTTGCCAGTTAGTATTTATAAGAGGGTTCCTTCACCTAAAGGCATTCTCTCTGGGGAGGGGATAAGTGGAAACTTGTCATCAATGGGAGGGTATAAGAAGACGAAGCTGTACATGTGTTCTTTAGGAGTTAATACTTGCACCCATCCTGACTGATTCTTGCCGCCACATTGGTCTGCAGGCACTTTCCTGGTATAGATACTTGGTATCCATAGGCAGCCACTTGGAAGTGAAGTAAAAGAAGGAGGGGGGGGATGGAGAAAAAGCACAAAGCTATAGAGCAAAGCATTAATAAATAATAGATTACATTTGGACATAATGTAGGAGCCGGGCCTTCACAGCTTATATTATGGAAACTGTTCAAATAAGATTGACTGTAGGTGTTTGTAAATGTCCTGTATGTTACTTGTATCCAGAAATATGGTGAATACCCCTTTAATGTGCTTTCTAAGCGATGGAACATTTTGGGTGCAGCACATGGGAAGTTACTGAATTTTTCATTGCAGCCATTTCTGTATGTCATTGTTAGAAAGCCAGAGTGACCCGTCATGCCAGCATTCGCTCCTGCTTGTAAGGTATTTAAGCAGTGTTGTGTTTCATTGGATTGGAAGACAAGTCCTTCTCATTCCTTACTTCAAAACTTGGCTCTCACATGGAGTGCCTTTTAAGCTTCCAGAGTTCAGGGACCTTCTCTCTGCCATTCATTGCCATATTCCTAGAGCCTAGCATATGGAAGGTGCTAAGTAATATTTGTGAAATGAGCAAAAATATGTTGGAATCTTCTCTCCTCTTTCCACTAGCGAAGGTCCCACTTACCGTTAGGGGCAGGGCCCTCCATTCTTGCCCTCCCCACAGCGTCTGCAGCCCATGACAAGCCCTTTGGATGTTAGCTGTTTATTTTAGTTGGTAGTATTTTAGTTGGACAGACATTGTGTACACATGTGAAACAGTGTGAGAATTCAGAGCTAAATAAAAAAAGTTATAATGATAGCTAGCATTTAGGGCTTAAAATGTGCCAGACACTGTTCTAGGTGCCTTTCCATGTAAATTTGACTCTCACAACAATTCTTTGAAATAGGTGCAATTATAATCTCATTTTTCAAATGAGGAAACTGAGGCACAGCAAGGTAACGAAGGTACTTGCCAAAAACCACAATGCAAGTAATGACCGGGGAGACACTGAATGTGTGAACCCAGGCAGTGTGGCTCTTGAGTCAGTGGGTTCCCCTGGGGAATTTTACTTTATCAGACACAGAAGAGATCTAAAAGTTGACATTACTTTTTCAGCTGTAAAAGGTACTCTCTTTAAAATTTCAAAGTAGCATAAAAGATTGCAGTGACTCTGAATTGCAGAAATAATGCTGCATTTTTCAGTGAGCCAAGGTTGATAATGAGGTGGTTAAGGGGACATTGAAATGAGAAACTGAATTTTGAATCTCAAAGCTGAGTAAGGACTATGTATAACTTTTTTTAGGTATGGAATTCTAGAACAGTAATTTACCAGAATGTAGGCCAGTAACTGTTTAACCTAGTGTCCAAAAACTTATGTGAAATGAAATAATACTGAATGACACTTGATATCTTGCTATTTTTCTTTTTAAAACACTAGAATTAAGTTGCTAGCAGTAGTAATTTACCAGAATGTGTGTTATTAATGGTTTCCTGTGTACTTTTATCCATTTGCTTTGTTATCTGAAATCTTGATCCACTTTTTCAGCTTGTTTTGGGGCCAGGAGGCTTCTTAAAACCAAGTAATATTTCTTTGGTGGGAAAAGCCCCCGTAAAGTCATGCTGTCGATTTGGTAACAAACTTGGAATGAAGTCATTTTGAAGCTGTGTGGAATTAGACAGCGACCTCCACACAGAGTCTGGAGAGATGAAGAAAAACGAACGGTGTTCTCTGAAATCCCAGTTTCGTATCCCTTTATCGGGAGCCGACGGTGTTATTTTGGGGGTGCTGGGCATCAACAGAGTCACTGACTCTAAGTGACTGCACTGATGGGGGAATCTGAACGTCACCCCACCCACAGCCCAGGAATCAGAGGAGGAAGGACCCTAGAGTGAAACATGGGCCAAAACCTGGTTAGCAGCCAGGGAGGACACGCACTCTGCAGGTAGAGTATTCTGGGTGCTACAGATCGCATCTGCTGGGTAGGAGGTCATGTCCTTTGCTTTGGGGATAGTTTTATAATTTGAGTCCATGAGGAAGTGACATTTGCTGGTGTCATTTTAACATCAGCTTGTAATTTGGGATGGCCTGTGACAGAAGCAGTTGATAACTGTGAATATTGCCCCACAGTTGTGTTCTGTGGATATACCCAAGGAAAACATTTGGAAAATTGGGGTTAAAATCTGTATTGAAGATTTTATCCAATTAGCATGTTAGCTTTAACTGCAAGCTCTTCTCTGAATGGAGGGGTGTAGGCAAAGAGAAGGTGATGCACTGATTCCTATTCTGAGGCTATCAAGCTGGATTATTTAATGGAATCTATAGTGACCTGCTTGATGAATTTTAGGGCTGCAGAACTAGCTCCTGCACACCGTCTGGTGTGGTGGTTCTCTAAGTAGGAGTACACGTCAGAATGACCCAGAGTTTGCAGTAAAAGGAACGTGTGCGTGGTAGCCTAACCCCAGCAGCATGGCCCGAGCACCTGTATTTTAAACCACCTGCCCCTTTGAGAAGAACCAGCCCTGTATTTTATAAGTAAAAAAATTGGGGTAAAGTCACATGACTATCTTATAGCGGGTTCATTGGTACCAAGATTGTATTACCAGGTATGTAATTTCACCATTTTACAGCCGAGAGAAATTTTTTAGGTCAGTTTAGTAGCCCATTTTATAGCTCAGTGTGAACGGTGCTTGTTCATGCCACTTGCAAGTAAGATGCGAATGTTGAGAAATAGTATTTTCTCAAAGCTCATCTTCTGTCCTGGCCATGGTAAAATTCAAAAAGACGATCACCAGAATTTCCTTACAATTTTAACTGGTTTCTAAAATTAATTTTAGGAACTGTCAATTATTTGGAGTGTGTTTTTATTATATACCCTGTGATGACCTCTTAAATTTTTAGGTAACTACTTAAAGTCAAAGTGAAGGATTAAAATTTTTTATTTGAATTACTTATTTTCCCATGTTAGCCAAAATGCAGGAGAGAAATGTGTGAGGATTTGCACTGCTTTTTTTAGAGTTTGTATTTTTAAATGTGGCTGATGTTTAACTTTTTTTTTTAAGGCCTCTTATATTGGAAACGGCACAGTTTGGCTTCCTTGCCATCTCTGAGTGTGAGAGAGAATCCTAGTTTCAGCATGTCCTCAATAGAGACCCAAGAACCAGGTTTGTTCCTTCAAGATGTCTGCTAAGGCCCGCGGAGCAGCCGCCTTTTCCAGAAGTAAATAATAATGTCAGATACCTGAGAATGGACCGTATGGCCAAGAGACTCATTAAGATACTCGTGGAAGAATGGCAGAAAACTGAAGAAATGGCCGATTTCAAGCAGTGACCCCTGTGTCTTGTAGGATTTTTGAGCAGCTGAAAGAAGATAGTTCTGAAAATATGAGTGACAAAATGCTAGCATATTTCCTTACTAGTTTCTTATCTTTGTTAACCCATCTGCTTTTGTCTATACTATTTTCGTTATTTTCCTCTACTGCAGCAATAGCTAGGAATATACTTATGATCAGAGTTTTATTCTCTGTGGGTAGAGAACTAGTAGATATAATAAGAGAAATAGTAAAATGTATGGGGATGTTGACCCCTAGAAATGGACTTGCACTGAATAATTCCTGAAAGTACAGGATGCTGATTAATTGCTTTTTCATAATGTGTGCTGCTGTCACAGAGTTTGCGGATTGACATTCGTCTTTACGCGGAGGCACTGGGTGTGCCTCCTTGTTTCTTGCACAGTCTTATAGACCCATGACCTTATCGTTTTTTAGTATAAAAATAAGAATTATATTTTTATAAATAGACCTTTGGTATGGTTGCTCTTTCACCCTGGTTTATTTTCTAGGATCAAGATTACAGTTGCCATTCTTATTCAGAGTTGTTGTTCTTTGCTTTTTTTAAGTTCTTAGTTAATGTTTTGTTTTCATTTACTGTTTCTAGATGGACATGGAGGATAAACTGTGTTCAGTTAACTCAGAGACCAGAATAACATGGGTAGTAAAAATCTGTAGAGCATTTACAGCACATCTTCACTGTCACAGTTTTAACCTTGTTTTAAGCCTCCATCCAACAACTTCTTAGTGGGGATCTCTCCCGGGGCTGACTGATAAGTGTGCACTGCACACGCACAGAAGTGAGGAGGGAGAAGGAGGGAGAAGGAGGGAGAGGGAGAAAGCTTTTGTAATTAACAAATGTTGGTCATTATGGTCATTAATGTGTTGGTGTGAAATATAGTTTGTCAGTTAGAGCTAAGATAATTAACTGATATAAGTAAATTTTGTTGTTTTCAGCTCTTTCTTTTTGCAGCTAAGTTGACATCATCAAGAATTTTCTCCTCTGAAAGTTGAGGAAACGTTTATTACCAAGTCTTTGTTACCAACAAAGAGAAATTTATGCCTAAAAACAGATTTTAAAATTTAATTTAATAAAGTGAAATTCCAGGAAAAAAAATTAAGAATATTTTCTTTCCCCTGGCTGGTGTAGCTCAGTGAATTGAGCATGGGCCTGTGAACCAAAGGGTCGCCGGTTCGATTCCCAGTCAGGGCAGATGGCTGAGTTGCAGGCCAGTTTCCCAGTTGGGAACATGTGATGGGCAACCACACATTGATATTTCTCTCCTTCTCTTTCTTGTGCCCTTTCCTTCTCTATAAATAAATAAAAAAATAAAATCTTTAAAAATATTTTTTCTTTCCCCAGTATGCCTGTTTTACTTCATCCCTTTATTAACCTCCTTTCTACCTTATCTGCTTAAAACCTAGTCTCACTTTTACACCTTTTTTCATCTGTCCAGACTTTCTTGTCTGGTGTCTTTTTATTTTGCTCACTTCCTGCCTTTTCTCATGTTGAAAGTGCTTTCTATTCTCATTACTCTGTTTCCTTGGGCGTCCTTCCTCCCTAGTCTGTTACCTCTGGGCTTTTCTTGTTGCTACATCTTGTAATCCAGCTCCTGGCATCTAGCTCCTGCCTGACTTGCCTTTCGCCCCTGTCTGCTTTGCTTCCTGTCCACCTGCATTCCACTCATCTCCGGTCAGTGGTGATCTCTTCTACTGCCCATCTCTACTTCTGTCTGTACACCTCACTGATCTGCTATGTGTTTCGTGTGGTTCTGACTCCTTCTCATCTCCAAATTGATGTTTTCTTCCTGTACTTTTTAGCTGTTGTGCATTTGTTCTGTCCCTGGGTGGTAGATATTACTAGATGGATTTGTTGTCAGTATTTGCAAAGAACACAGACCCTTGCTGTGTATTTCCTGGGTAGCCAGGATGAATCAATTATTATTAATTTTTCTTGGAACGTTGAGCTTCCTGTATTTTCTGCTTCTAAGAATTAGGTTGGTATTCTAGAAGACATAAATACCCCTCTAAAGAGGGTCAGGACAGTTATATGATACTGTTACTTTAACTCTTTATTCTAGAGTTCATAATTGAATTCACTGTCTTGAAAGATTTTTAAAAAGATATCCAAAGCAAGTTTTGGGGTCAGATAGGAAGAGGAAAGTAAATACTATAAAAGGATTAATATTCAATTTCTAGAACTAGAAAAATTAAAATTACAAACCACATGCTTTAACAATTATTAGGCAAAAATTCCCTGAAGAGAATAAGTATCAGGAATTCTTTTAACTGGGTTATCTGTATTTTGACATTTCTTTTTAAGTTTCAAGACGTTTCTTTAATATTTACAAAGCAGAAACTGAATCTTAAAATATCTATTTTGAGAGGCTTGCTTGAGATCTCCTTAAATATTAACCTCTATCATTTTGTAATTATACTGTAATTCTCAAAATTTCATTCAACTACTGTGTAAGCTTCTTGTGTGGGAAAGCATATAAATTGTGGGGCCTTGCCCCTCTGGACTCTATAGTCATGGTGTAATGAAAATGCAGCTTATTGGAAAAACTTTATTTTATGGTATTGATGAGTTACATTGTCTTTATATTTTCCTTTTATCTTTGTATATATTATGAATGTGGCACTTTCCTGTAATTTGGTTTTCTGAAATGTGTATGAACTGGAGGTAGACTAATGTGAGTGTGAATGTACAGCTTTATTAAACTTTCAAAAGAAAGACCCTATATATCACATAATGTAGTGTCTATAAGTTTTAAGAATAGCTGGACAAATTGAGGTTGAGCATATTGCATATTCTTTCTTTTGAGCCTTCCTTAATTGTGTTGGTAGTTGTTGGGTATCTCGAAGCTAAAGGGATGGCTTATGTTTCGTTAGTCGTACCGTGATATTCCCATGAGCAGCTAGTAAAAACATCAGAACCACAGTGAAAACTACTAACAGGAAGTTTGTGTGAACGTGTAAGTACAGGACCATTCAGGATTATGGAGAACTAACATAGTAGAGAACAGTATATGGGAATATACTCTTATTACCTAGATTCTGTTGCTGCTCCAAGGCTTGATATTCCCATTTTAAACATGCTTTTATGTTTTTTAAGAAAACCAACCCTACTAAAAAACCTTAGAGTTAACCCCCTCCTTTTTTTTCTAAACAGAAGTTTATTTAGCTTGGTCTGTGTGCCAGAGTAGTTCTCAGTGACAGTTGTCTCTTCTCCATAAATCATAACTGTTCTCAGAGAATTTAAAATTTGCCACAGTTGAGCATATTTGACAAAAATATGCCCCAGGCTTCTGAAGTGTTCTGCAGAAATGACGTCATTGAAACAGGTCTCTGCGGTACGACTGTATTTGGGAGAATGGGAGTAAGACCTGCTGGTCTTCGGAGTGTGTTGTGAAACCAGTCTTGGCACAGTCGTGATCCCAACACGGGATTAAATATACCAACCTGAATATACTTCTTGGATTATACCTGTGTTTTTGTTGTTTTTAAAGGTATTGGAATGGACTTCCTTTAACAACCAAACTGAACAACGTGCATATTCCAATGTAGTAGAAAAAATTGGCATAATGATTTAATACTATTTTATATATGGTCAGTTGATTTCTTCCCAGAGCAGCAGGGCTTTAAAAAAATACGGGTCTGTGTCCTAGACCATGTGATAAATCAGGTTGGGGAAACTTCTCACTTGAATGAAATAGATTCTTCTGATCTTGGTTGTTTGGCTTTGTTCTACAAGTTCACTAATTCGTGGTGCAATCAGGCGTGTCTGTTGTGTTGTGATTTTGTGTATTATAAGAGTTGTATTTGGGGTAATTTAAAAATATTAATAGTGAGATATACTCCCAGCCAAGAGTTCTGGTAAAGATCAAAATACATGTCTTGTGTAAAACCTCTTTGTTAAATTTTATCAGTTACAATCAGATTTTAAGTAAGTTTAGTTTGTGTTTTATGACTGGTGCTAATTTGTATTGCCATGACATTCATAGACAGGGAAACTGTATTTCCATAGAAAGGGAGACTTGGCGTGTTAATATTCCAAAGCTTAATTTAAGCTGGTTATGGTTTTTAAAAGTGGCTTCTGCTTCTATTTTCTGAAATGTTTTCAGTGCTATGGGCATGTTAACAATAGCATGTTTAATTTTAATCACCATAACAAATATCTGCTTAGCAGAGACGTTGGGGAAATTGCTGCAGATGAGGGTATCGGGTTGGCCAAAAAGCCTGTTAGGTTTTATCTGTAAAATAAAGGAGACATTTTTCATTTTCACTGGTAACTTTATTGATTTGGACATTTTGAGTACGTCGACTATCTCCTGCTATTGGCTTCCAGTGTGTAGAGGCCAGCGGTGCTGCTAAACGTCTTCCCATGTGTGAGGCAGCCCCACAGCCAAGAATTGCTGGGTGAAAATGTCAGTAGTACCAAGAAACTTCACAAACCACTTCTCACACATTCAGTTAGTCATAGCACCTCCTCCACACACTGCGCAAATTTTTATTTTTATATTTCAGTTGCATTTTTATCTTTCTTGAAATAATAAAGCATAATATGCCAAAAACATTGCATATTTTTTCTATCTTCAATATTAAAATGGCTGCTGCCAAATTCACCTATTTTGATACTTTTTTTTAATGCATGCTTATATGACAGAATAAGCTGTCACAATATATTGTAACAAAATTACAATTTAACTTCATTTATTGTTTTGAATGAAGTTAAAGACAACTAAGCACTTCTAAAGCCTTTGTACGGAAAAAACCTAACAGGCTTTTTGGCCAACCCAATAGAATGAGCTGAGGTACTGGTTTTTGGCTTTCATT